GGAGAACATAGAGGTGTTGAAGCAGGGGGTCGAAAGGGGCGAGGAAGCGACGACGAGTCCAGAGGGACTTAGCTACCCAAAATCAAGCATCAGTTAGAATGGAGCTGGACTCAGAGGAGTGCCACAGAGACATATCTACTGATCGTGAAGAAAAGGGATGCAGATGCGAGGCGATGGATAGTAGGGCCATGGGCATGGCAGCGCCATGGTACCGCAGAGTTGGGACTTTCGTGAAAGTCATTAATCCCTTGCTCTCATGGAAGGAGAGCGCTTGGTCGTGAAAGGGGCCGAGGAGGTGGAGCATGCAGAAGCAAACTCCAAGTACCGTGACAAGGCTGAAGGGCAGAGGCCAAGGAACTTCGTAAGACCGGTGTCAATGAGTTTCTCATCAAGATAGCCGAAAGTGAAGGACTTCGGATTATGCAAGAGTGCACGACCAAGGAACGAAGCAGGCAGTACGCGGTGCTGTACCTTCGCTACTTAGGGGAGTAGGCGACAGGGTTGATGGAGAAGACGGTACAATCCCAGAGGCGACCACATCTATTAGAAAATTACTCCAAGTTGCGGTGAAAACTTCCTGCATTTCAGAAGTGTGAGCAAAGAGCAGGCGAAGGCTAGTAACTAGCTCGATGCATGGAGTACAACCTCGAGGAGGCGGGCGAAGTCAAGTAACCTTTGCCTTCTCAACCCTTAAGAGAATGGGCGAAACCGAGTACCCCAATTCTCTTATCTATCCAGCAGAGGAGCTCTGCACAAGTTCAAAGACTCTTCGAAGATAATGGAAGACAATAGTTGTCAAATCCTCACCAATGGTGATCAGTACTACTGAGAGTAGATTGTCCGCTTCATTTCCCAACGAAATGTCAATCGAAAGCGGAAGTGATGCGAACCTACTTGGAAGTGACAACTAGTCATTGGGCAAATTTTGTGGAGGAAGGACCCAAAACTTCAGAAGTTTACGAGACGATGCTCGTTAAAAGCTCCAACAAGCATCCACCCAGTTCAAACAGCATGAGGCATTTGAGAGACTGGCGCAGTAAGGATGGTCTTTTTCCTTCATTTGGAGGATCCGCAGGATTCAACAAGGATCAACACAACTCAGCCAACCCCACACCAGAGTTAGAGTCATTGGTGAGTTGAAGCAGCATGGCAGATCAAAGGTTCGACTACTCAAAAACAGCAGCGAAGAGCAGTTGGGAGCCAAGAGGCGCATTGTAGCTGGAGCAGAAGATTGAAGACTCAGCAAAGGCGAGAAGTTGCAGTGTCGGCAAAGGCTTCAACGAGGACGTCGAAGGAATAAGTGGGGGAGAATGTCACGGACAAACTTCTAAACAAGATGTTTGATGTAATGCTTATGTATGTTCGTGTCTTTTGGTATGTTCATACATTGTTTAGCATGTAGAGGGACAACCGAAGGCTTAATAGTCCCATTTTAGTTCGGTCTGTAATGGACCATTTTACCCTTTGTTGTGCAACTGTTCAGAGCTTGTAAAGTTTGTTTGTAATTTGCATTGTCTATGAAGTGTTTTCGGAGATGTTTGCTTGTGGATCCCGAGTGAGGCGTTCTCTCTAACCCATTCTCTCTTTTGTTGGTCCTAAGGGAGAATGGGAGGCTTCGGGGAGGCTGACCTTTGCGGACGGACACGCAAGGGTGTCGCACGACTTAAGCAAAACCAGCTAAGTCCGTGACAGTCCGGTACCGCTACAGTGCTACAGTAATATACTGTAGCACTGCTACAATATGAAAAAAAATATAAGATTGTTCGGTACACCATGGTGTACCGTTCGGTACGCCTTGATGTACCGCCCGGTACACCGGTATCATACCATACCGAGCCCGGGTCGAAACGCTGGTACGATACGGTACAGCGAACCTTGCACTCAACATTGTTTAAACTCGTTATGTTTTTGGTGGAATCCATTACTTTATTGCAGTCAAGTCCTATTAGTTATATCCATTTTAGATTAAAATATTAGTATCTCCAGTACAGAGTGAGGTCTTCTGCTTCCATGGTCCTGTTTTCAAGATCCAAGTTTTTTGATACCTACTGTGACTATCCGATTTTCATGAATCCTTCTTGACATATATTAAGTGTTCATAATGAGATTGGCATGATGGTTGCCTTAACTGGGTGGTCAGCTGTTAGAGAGTCATTTTAGCTTCATAATGAGTTGCAGTTCCATATGAATTATGTCCATACAGCCTAGTAAATATATTAAAAAAGTAGAAATTTTTTGTATGGTGTAGTTTCTCATATTCTTTTGACAGATAGTGTACATGACTTCATGTTTACTACTATCTGCAATGTTTACAGAATGTTATTCTGCATGAAATATTGAATCATGTAAATTCATTTACTGTAGAAATTTTGTTTATAACAACTGTTTTTTCAAACTACTCTTCAAGACTTTTTATTACTTTTTGCTATATATCAGGTTACTCTCATTGGTTATTACTTGGCTATATGATAACGTATGCAGTAGTATCATCATTTTATTTCTTCTTCTTAAGTATGGTATAGTTTCCAGGTTAGCAGATGAGTGCATATGAGCCAAATCTAGGTGATTGGATTTGAACCATTTCTGTCGCTTTTTAATCTTGATAAATATCCATTCTCTTGGACCAAGTTATTTTGTTAACATTATGTGATGGCATCTGTTAACATGTTTCTATATGAAACTTAACGAGGAAGATATAGACAATTTATTTTACAGTGTTTTTTCTTTCAAATGACAAATTTGTGCTTTTCTAATCCTATTTTGTGGCGTCAAGTCATTTTCTTGATTTTCTTTGGTCTCCTTGAACTTTAACTTTCCTTTTTTTGTGCAGGTGTATGCTGAAGCAGATGCTTTCTTTTGTTTTGTTGAGTTATTGAGTGGATTTAGAGACAATTTCTGTCAAAAGCTTGATAATAGTGTAGTTGGCATTCGTTCTACAATCAGTAAACTTTCAGAGCTACTAAAGAAACATGATGGGGAGCTTTGGCGTCATTTAGAGATTACAACAAAAGTAAGAGAAATTACTAGAATTATTTTTATGTCGTCCACCTGTAATTGTGATTAACATTTTGGAAACTGACTCTGTGGTACACTTCATATAACATCTTGTTTTTCAGTTTTATGTACCAAGTTACTTGGTAGTTGTTAGGATCGAGAGCACTAAGAGGGGGGGGTGAATTAGTGCAGCGGATATTTTTCAGCGATTAAAAAACGAAAGCTGCGTTCGTTCGATAAAGACTATTTTGATGCAAAAGCCGATTCTAAGATTACTTATGATTAAATGCAGTTTACGTTTAAACACAGTTAGCGTCTAAACGCAGTTTGCGTCTAAATGCAGATTGCGTCTAAACTCAGATTGCGTCTAAGCGCAGTTTGCGTCTTAGCGCAGATTGCGTCTAAGCGCAGATTGCGTCTAAGCGCAGATTGCGTCTAAACACAGTTTGCGTCTAGGAGCAGTTTAAGCAGAAGTATAAAGACAATGTGCTGCTGTTGTACAGCTCAAAAAGTAATCTGCAAAAAACAGATTTACGTCTAAACGCAGATTTACGTCTAGACGC